ATACCGTTCTCCGAAGTACGGCCGAATGTTTACAGTTTAACGCCTAGCCATCTTTGAATCGCTTCCATTGGGTAGAAGGATGGTAGCAATATCGGTAAGGGTTGGGATAGATAAGGTGCCGCATACAGCATGTGAGCTCTTTCCCGCACCGACTAATAACATTAGAGGAGTGATGGGAGTAAGTCCAGAGAGGAGGAGCTTATGACTTGATAAATCATCCTCAACATTTGCAGATCCATCCCCAGTAACGCCGATTTCAGGTAACCAATTCCGCCATGCAGAAGCTTGGTACCTTTCTAGCATCAATCAACACGCTCACATAAAGGGTGCGCGCATTACTTCGACTGCTGGTACCAGAGCCAAAATCATTACGCTCGAGTAGCGCTACTTTTAGCCCTCTAGAGGCTCCATCCAGTGCTATGGACGATCCTGTCGCTCCTCCTCCTACTACAATAATATCGAATCTGAATAGCGTCATGACCTCAGTGAAAGATGAAACTATCGAGCTTAATGCGCACAGTACTCATCTCGGCGTAACTTTTCTAACGACTTCCTGCGCTCAAACTGTGGCACTGTTTTCCGATAAGCACTCGCGGGAATGGGGCTCTGAGACCAGCCACAATTTTCAGTACGCCATGATCAACTGTCCCTCCTTCAACCATCGAGCAACAACGCACGAATTTCCGATGTTGAGCCCATCGAAAAGCATAGGCAAAGACATAGTTCTTACAGGTGTAGTGAAGTATATGTATGCAGAGGTGCCTCCTATAGCTGTACCACCGACAATGGCACCATACTTCATCGTCCTCATGAGTATCTTCCCTGTCGAACCTCTCATTATTAGAAAATCAAACCAGCTGAGCAGAGTACATCATGTCAACTACTGACGGCCGCCGCCTTTGATGTCGGTTCCTTGCTTGTTGCCTAATGACCCTCCGAGGGAGGAGGGATGAGTAGAATACATAGCCCTGGTATGACCACCATGGAAAGGAATGATTGATGTGATATCCACAATGAAACCTGACTACTCCATCACTAGCTGGAAACCATATATACTTTTGAGATGTATCATATAAACAAACGTGTCGCTCTAGTGAATTCAGGTCGGGGAACTGGGTAGGCTCGAGTGCAGATGTTAAACGACGACAAGCATCACCCAGTGGAGTCGTGTATAGGGCCCACCATAATAGCACATGCACTACGA